GGAGAGAAGCCGTGCCCAAAGACAAACCCCCCTAAAAAAAAAAAAAAAAAAAAAAAAAAAAAAAAGAAAGAAAGAAAGAAAGAAAGAAAGAAAGGCAGAAGTTACCATCACATTTGGTGGTCTCTATATCCTAGTAAAAATGTCAAAGAACCTGAGCCTACAAAACTACATGAGAGAAAAATGGGATTCTCACTCTACCCCTAGATCCATTCTATTTGCCCCTTAGCATTTGCTTCACTTCCCACCAGCCTCTCCATCCCTGCCTGAGGAGTTTCCTGTTCTTGCTTCCTTATGTAAGAATTAACACACAGCAGTTCTGGGTCCATAAAACAGGGTCAGAGTGAGCTCTGACTTGAGACAGGTCCCCATCCTTACTGCAGGAGTATCAGCCTCTGGCCATGCTGCCTGGGACTGTGGGCCTGGTCTCTCTAGGCTCTTCTGATTCTGGGCATTCAGCAGGCCCAGAGCTGAGCATGTCTCATGTGTACACCTCAGTGTGGCATGAGGGACCTAAGCCAGGGAGGCAGCATTGGTGGACTCTGAGAGGGGATTCTCAGCACACACTTTCCTCACAGATGCACTATCTCAATATCTTACATTCATGAGCAAAAACAGTTGAAATAGCGATTAGAGAGGTTGTCACCTTCAGTCCTGAACTTTTGTTTCAGATATGCCAAACGTTGTGAGGGACAAAAATCATCAGGCTGTTTGCTGTACACGTAGGCCTGCCCCACCTCTTGGCATTCATACTCTAAATCAATATTTAATCTAAAATAAGTCTCACCTTCATTTTGACCTGAATTCAGGTCTTATTGAGCCCTGAGGCTCAATAAAATGGTTTCTTTTTGATTGTGGTTTGTAGATGAACTCCAAGTGAGAAGGGACAGCAGGTGGGTGCCAGGGACCACCCAGAGCTGCTTTGCTTTGCATATCCTGTTTAGAAAGGATGCTGGGTTTGCTGTCAGTACCATAGCCTTGGGCTTGGCAAAAACAGCAAGTAGCAATGCAGATTTTCAGAAAAGTACATTTGTCTAAAATTGAGGGGCTGTCAAGTGAAACCCTGCAAAAACTGACCTGCTTTTTTGTGAAAAGGAAACTAAACTTGTTCTAGCTGCTTGTACCAAAAGCAACATGTTAGGAGAGTAGGACAGCTTTCAAGACTGAAAGACTTGCACCATAGCAAATAGAGACACATCTCATGGACACCTGCCTGGTATCTGTATTGAGTACTTATTGTTCCAATGTGCTGAGCACTTGCTGTGGGTCAGGCCCAGTGAAGTATCCACTAACTTAGGATCACACCAGCCCTGTGAGAAAAGAGAGCTCATCCAGCAAGGTTTTGAGGTTATATGCACACACAGATCCTCGAGTCTCCAGTGCTCAGCTTAACCATCCCCCTTAACTGCTGACTCCTCCAGCTCGACACTGAGGTAGGAGTGGCCCTGTGGCATGTCTTAGAGCTCCCAAGATTAATGATTTCTGGGCTATTTGTTGATAAAAGCATTCTCAAACTCTGTTCATGGGAAGCATTTGGTCTGTTTCTGCCCTCTGTTCGTGGGGTATTTCCAATTTAGCTGATTCTTATGGAAAATTATTAAATATACCCAGCACATAGCTAGACATACACATTTCATGCATAGATACACACATGCAGGCCCAACTCCAATGGCACGAGAAGGAGAGCACCACCACTTGAGGTTGAGACTGTGTGGGAGACCTGGGCTTGGTGTCTGAACCAGCCTAAACAGTGAGATGTAGTGGTATGTGCCTGTAATCCTAGCTGGCTAGGAGGCTGGGGCAGGAGGACCACCACAGAGCAAGATCCTGTCAACAACACCTATATATATCCCTCTCCTTTTCTCTCTCTCAATAAAAAAAAAAAAATACATCTGGACACACACAAATACATATACATATACATACACACATACACATGACATGCACATGCACACACATATACACATGTACCATACATGTATACATATACACACATACCTACCTAAATTCAAACACAGATACACACAGGTGGGAGGAGAGAGGAAGGTAAGTGTGGAAGAAAGAAAGATGTAAAGAAAAAGGGAAAAGGGAGAGACATGCAATCTACACTAAATAGAATTTTGCAAGGAGGTTGATATGATCTTTATGTAATAGATGACAAATCTGAGGCTAAGGGAGTTTTGAAAATGTGTTCCCAAGACATGCACTGATGAGCTAGACCTGAGGCACACCTGAGCACCTGGCTCAAGTTCTATCTCCCCCACCTGCCTGCCACTCAGAACTGAGTTACTATAGCATAGGCAGGTGGCTGAGAGCACAAGGGGCCTAAGAGCCACCTGTTCCTGCCTGGCAAGCCCTGCACAAAGAGCAGAGGGCTCTTTTATAATTCCCATAAATGCACCTCATGGATCCTAATGTCATTTGGATCATGGGCTCCTTCCAGAAGATGATGAAAGGTGTAGACACTCTCTCTACCTCTGTGAAAACTCTTGCGTAGGATATTGGTATGCAGGACCCCAAAGTCCCTTTCAGACTTCTACACCTGAAGTCCCATGGAGTCCAGCTAAGAATCCTCATGTCTGTATATCATCTTTCTCCTGGGTTCCTTCATAGTAAAGCATGTCTTATTTTTAGAGAGGTTTTTTTTTTTGGGGGGGGGAGGGTGTTATTTATTTATTTATTTATTTGCTGTATGATCTTGCTGGGTTCCACATTTGAAACTTACAAATTTGGGGCATATGCAGGCACCAAATATTCATAGGATCCCAACAGAGGGACCTGGGGGGTTTAGATTATTTTAAAAGTACAAGGTAAAACGTTGAAGTTTATTTTCAACCACTCTTTTAAATAGCTGAATTGAAATGTAATACACATACCGTACAACTGACCCTTTGAAGAGCAATTCAATGGTTTTAGTATATTTACACAGTTGTGCAACCATCAACATAATTTCAGAACATTTTCATTGTCCCAAAAAGATACCTTTGTGCCCACTAATAGTCAACCCCTAAAAAAAAAAGTCAACCCCTAAGCTCCCAAACAATCCAAATATCCCAACTCCAGCTAAACCTAGTCCTGGCAACCACTAATCTATTTTCTGCTTCTATAGATTTGCCTATTATAGATGTTTCATCTAAATAAATCATACAGTATATTGTGTCTTGTGACTGGCTTCTTTGACTTTGTGTAATGATTTCAAGGCACTTGAACTACTTTTACTAAGTTATCAATTTGTATATTTCATCAATTCACTTTGTCTTTGTTTTCAAATCGATCTCTGTACAGGACCTCTGTGACCAACTGATGATGATACAGTGGCCTTGTTCTCCTTTGGTGACATACCTGATACACAAGAAAGACACTGGTTGAGATGGTGGCTCCTGTTCTTCTGGGCTTGCTTCTCCCAGTGCAGTTTTGTTTTTTTGGGGGGGGGGTTTGGGTTTTGGTTTTTGTCCCAAGCAGGCAGGGGTGGAGGCAGTCAGGGCTTATTATTCTCAGCCTGCCACATCTAGTATAGACTTTCCAGCCTGTGAGTGAAGACTGGGTAAGGGAATGGAGCCCCAGTTCTCTTGCCCATAGAGTAAGGCTGCTTCAATGTGGAGCTGGTCAGGAGACGGGAAAGCTGGATGAGATGCGGGAGCTTTTCTCCCCAGGCTAAACCAAATTCCTAGACTAGGAGCCCCATCTTCTTATACACACCTGCCCAGAGTAGTTTCTGTCACACTGAACTGGGGGGGGGGGGGGGGAGAGGGGAGAAGTCACAACCCAAATGCCCATAGTCACTATTTTTAGTGAGGTGTCGATTTTCTTATAGAAATTGTTCTCTATTTGCTATATGCCCTAAGCACCATTTCCAAAGACCTTAGATGATTAAAATAATTTTTACCAGTTAAATCTTTGTTCCAGTAGGGAGAGTTTCCCTTGAGCTCCTCATACTACCGTTCCATGCCTTCATGACTAACAATTCTGATATTCAGAGAGGACTGGTAAGAAATGCGGGTTAAGTTCTGATAGGTATTTTTATAATGTAGCATTGGCTTCTGGCCTGG